TGACCGGAAAGCACTGGGGCTTCCGGTCCTTGAGAACTGGGGATGATGGATCCAGCTGAGGCAAAGCAGCTGGGGGAACTGGGGATGGTGTTATTGCATTCCGGCATGAGTGCCAGAAGCAATAACAAWGACAACAACGTCGTGACCGGAATCTTCYTCCGGTCCSTAAAGTACTGGAAATGGAACTGCAAGGAGATGCTAGGGAACTTCTTGAAAACTGAGTATGATGTATGATGTAGCATATACTCCAGGCTTGTTCTTCACTAGGTCGTGGTTGAATACTGGGGGATGGGGTTGGTGTTATTGCATTCYAACAGGAGTGTCGGAATCAACAACAATCGTGACCGGAAAGCACTGGGGCTTCCTCCGGTCCTTGAGAACTGGGGATGGATCCAGCTGAGGCACCTGCACTCAGCTGGAGAAATAGAACTGGGGGTAATACMGATAGAGTATCGACTGGGGTGAGGTTGGTGGTATTGCATTCCAGCATGAATGCCAGAAACAACCACAACAACAACGACGTCGTGACCGGAATCTTCTTCCGGTCCGGAAAATACTGGAAAAGGAACTGCATGGAGATGCTGGAGAGTCTTCTTAAAAACTGAGTATGATGGAGCATACACTCCAAACTTGTTCTTCACTAGGTCTTGGTTGAATACTGGGGGATGGGGTTGGTGTTACTGCATTCCGGCACGAATGCCGGAAACAACAGCGTCGTGACCGGAATCTTCTTCCGGTCCGTAAATTACTGGAACTGCATGGAGATGATGCTGGGGAATCTTCTGTAAAACTGAGTATGAAGTAGCATATACGCCAGGCGTTGTTCTTCAAAGGAAAGGTCTTGGTTGAATACTGGGGGGTGGGGTTGGTGTTATTGCTGTCCGGCACGGATGCCGGAAACAATAACAACAACAACAACGTCGTGACCGGAATCTTCTTCCGGTCTGTAAATTACTGAAACTGCTGCATGGAGATGATGCTGGGGAATCTTCTTGAAAGCTGAGTATGATGTATGATGTAGCATATACTCCAGGCTTGTTCTGCATTAGGTCTTTGTTGGATACTGGGGGGTTGGTGTTATTGCTTTCCGGCGCGAAGGTCGGAAACATCAACTTCAACACCGGAAGRTACCAMTYGGTGCTTCCGGAGGAACAGGGGATGGATCCGGCTGTGGCAAGCCACCACCAGCTGGGAGATATAGATATACTTGGAATAGTCTTGGTTACATTGTTTGGTTGTCTCTTGAATGGAGCCAAGGAGGAGGATTCTCCCCTTCCGAAGGGGGTGTCACCATGGTTCGGAAGTCAGAAGGAGCCTGTCAGGTAGGAATGTACGTAGGAATCAGTAGGAATTCTAGGTGATAATTTTCATAAGCGAAGTGTAATTTCGTGCGTTTGAAATTATGGGCGACCGACCCATGACAGATTAATTATTAAGTTGTTGTGTTTGATGTATTCTGAACATAGACATGWAGCAAAATTGGAAAATAAAAAATCTGGAGAGGTGACATATTCTTTTTTCGAACACGAATGGTTGTTTCGAATGCTACCAATATGTGATATCTTGCACGGGATGAAAATATTATTG